AAGGAGAGAGAAAATAAAACAAACACTCAGTGTAACTCACCAGGTTAAGGACTAAACATGACAAGCACAGTTGAAGCCCCTGGTATCCTTTTTCCGTCTCCAGATCTACTATCCTATGTAATTATTTTATCTTGTACGTATATATCCATATCCTTAATAAAATTATTATATATATATATACATATCTTTCTGCGAATTGCCTTTTTTGGTCAACATTAAGTTTCTGAGATGTATCCTTGCTGATTCACGTAGTTTGAAACATCATTTTTTCACGGCTGAGTAGTGTGGTGTTGTAGACTTGTAAGGCCATCTTTAAACATCCTTTCCTCTGCTGTTGAGGGTCGTAGGGTATTCACATCTTCTGGATATTGCGAAGTTGCTTTCCAAAATAGTTATACCAGTAGGGTTTTTTGGTTTGTTTTATTGTGACCAAAAATTTATTGTGACCAAAAATACATAAAATTTACCATTTTAACTATTTTTAAGTGCACAGTTCAGTGGCATTAAGGACATTCACACTGGTGTGCCGCTATCACCACCATGTATCTCTGGGGCTGAAATTCTGGAACCATTAAGCAATAACGCCTGTTTCCTCTTTATCCAGCCTCCAGGAACCATCATTCTACTTTCTGTCTCTATGAATTTGCCTATTCCAGGTACCTCAAATAAGTGGAATCATACAATATTTGTCCTTCTGTGACTCACTTATTCCCCTTAAAATAACGTCTTCAAGGTTCATCCGTGCTGTAGCTTGCAACAGAATTTTGTTCCTTTTAAAAGCCACATCATACTCCATTGTATGTATGGACCACATTTTGTTCATCTGTCAATGGCCATTTGGGCTGTGTCCACCTTTTCTCTTGTGAATAATGCTGCCATGAACATTGGTCTACGATATCTGTTTGAGTCCCTGCTTCCAGTCCTTTTGGGTGTATACCCAGAAGCAGAATTGCTGGATTATATGGTGTTTTTAATTTTTTGAGGAAGCCCCATACTGATTCACACAGTGGTTGCACCATTTTACATTCCCACCAGCCATGCACAAGGCTTCCAGTTTCTCTGCATCCATATCAAACTTGTTTTCTGGAGTTTTGTTTTAAAAAAAAATGTATAACAGCCATCCCAGACTTTTTTGTTGGAGTTTCCCCCCCCCCTTTTTAAAAATTAGATTTCCTTCTGCCAAAAAAAGTGAGCTTTGAAAGCTGTGCATCACCTCATTTCCCAGTCCATGCAGGTCACATTCAGGATGTCTGAAAAGTTTCAGAAACCAGTGATCATCAAGATAACTTGTCTGTATCCCCAGGGAGTAAGGTGTAAAGAGAGTCCTGGAGGAGAAATGAGTGTCCCTGTATGTAAAGGATGTGGCTCATTTTAAGACCCAGAATTTGAAAACAATGAAAGGAATGGGAACCAGAGGGCTGTTGGAGCAGGAAGGCACCTGTGGTAGCCAGCCCCCTGCTGCGCACACCCCCGAGGAGCCCTCTGTCGCCTGGTGCCGGGGCTGGTCTGTGTGATCAGTGCGCGATGGCGGAAGTGACCACACATCACTTCCAAGAGTAGGTTTCTAACTTGCTCTCGTCCTTTCTCACAGGGCTAGCTCTGGGGGAAGCCAGCTGTCATACCCTGAGGACACTCACGATGCAGTGAGGAAGGGCACATGATGAGCTAAGTCCTACAAACAGC